GGTAACTATAGTATGCTTAAAGAAGATACTAACGCAAGTATAACAACCTTTAAATAAGTCTCCAATTCAAGATATTTAAATTGATATTCTTGGACTTTGTTTCTCCAATTGAAACCGGAAATGATGTGCATTTATAGCACTTGCAAAGATCCAGTGTATACTAATTTGTGTGCAGGTTTAAAGAAGCGTGGAGCATTTAATTAAAACCACAGTTATATGGTGACAGACCTTGATTTAGATCTTTGGAGTTTGTTAATTAATTTTAAAAGTTCCAATTTATTTACATTGCTCACTCATTAACTGGCTGTCATGAAATGATGGAAACTTGAGACTTGTCCTTTTTAATGTTTTTGAAGGAATTTATTTAGTCAGATTTCCTGGCAACTACTTTTTTTCTTTCATAGAAGACATTATTTCTGTGTTAATATTATGGTAATATATGTATAAAAACATTGTATGTGCCAGTAGCATAGCCTGAAGTTGCATTTGGAGAGCAAACTTTTTCTGAAAAGGGATATAATCATTTTGTAAGCAAAGATTAGCGTCTCTTTGGAAACTGCGTGCTGAGAGCTGTCATGCAGCAAATTCTTGGCCTCATTCTATAACTTTTTCCCACGCTCCAGAAACCTGTTGTACTCAGGATATTTGAGAAAAGCTTAAAATTTAAAATAAACATCTAAAATGACATTTATTTGTAATCACCCATCAGTAGATAACGATATCATTATTTATTATATTTTAAACAAAGTGTAGTTGCTCTGTTTCCTTCCCTAGAAACCTTAAAGTTTGTTTTCCCAGCAGTGTTTCAAAGACTTAAGAGGGGCTCAACAGTTAGTTCTGGTCAGTCGCTTCACTTTGTGTTATGTTAGGGTTAAGAGAGAAGAAAGGCAAGTCCTGCACCTGGGATGGAGCAACTTCATGCAGCAGCACAGTTCAGGGCTGGCTGTCTAGAGAGCAGCTGGGCAGAAAACAATTTGCAGTTCCTGGTGGCCAGTAAGTGCAACATGAGTCAGCAGCACCCCTGTACAGCTGTGCAGGTCAACCACGTCCTAGTCTACATTAATAAGAGTGTAGCTGGTTGGTTGAGGAGAGTGATTATGCCGCTCTATTTGACACATATGAAACTGCATGTGGTCTTGTAGATCTTATTTGGATCCTTGCCCAGTGCAAGGAAGGCTTTGACATGCGTAAATGGATCCAGCAGAGATACCTCAAGATGTTTAGGGGGCTGCAGCACATGACAAATGAGGAGTGGTGGGGAGGGCCGATTTTTTACGCCTGGAAACAAGAAGGCTCGGGGGCACCTTATCAGTGTCTTCACTGCCTAGGAGGACAGTGTAGAGAAGGTGAAGCCAAACTCTGCTTGGAGGTGCATGGTAAGGGGATGAGAGGCAACAGACACCAACCGATTCAAGGAAAAATCTGATTGGATGTTAGGAACAAAATTTCACCATGAATATAGTCAAACACTGGAACAAGTCCCAGAGAGATTTTGAAAATCTCCGAGGACGGAGACCTCACATCTGGACAGGACAAAGCCTCCAACCTGCCAGTCTGGCTTGATGACAAAGTTGATTCTGCTTTGAGGACAGGTTTAAACAAGAGAATCTCCAGAGGTCCTTTCTAACCTAAAATATTCTCTGAGTCTACATTTTTATTAACAGAATTTCCCAAACAAATATTGAACAGACTTCATTAGCATGTAAAATCGTGCATGTATTATAAACAAATATTTTGGTGAGATATGAATGAAGGAGTTACTAAGTGCAGCTCTGTAGCTTTTGTTCTCCATAAGCTAATGTTTGATGGTCATAATAATCTCTTTAAAAAAAAAAAATCTATGAAAATGTTATTTTACTTTTCTTTCTTTTTCAGTAAGAAAAGCTGCTCTAGATGAATTATATACCCTTAATGATGCATACTATATTATTTAAAAAGTAAACAATGTTTGCATGTAGCCTGTGCAGAATTTCCCAAATTTATTCATAGAATATAACGTAGCAGCTTGTGAAAATAGAGAATTGGGGTTTCATTGACCAGAGAAGTGCATGGAGATGTTTGATCTGCACATTGTTGACCTCTAGGATTTAAAAAAAGTTCAAATATTCTAGGAATACCTTCTTAGGAGATCTTAGAGCCTGGGGTTCGTAGCAAACTGTGGAGTGCAGGGTCTTCAAAAAACTCGAGGCACAGAAAAGTGATTCACAGCTAGTTGAGAAATGTAAACTCTACTGTTTAAAATTTAGTATGCAGGTAGAGAACCTTATATCTATAGGTGTAAGCAAAAGGAGAAGGTGAAGAGAGGCATTTATGGAAGGACTGGTTATGTGGTTTTAGCTGAAACATGAAAATACTGATAACATCAGAAATAAAAAAAAAAAAGAACAGGTTTTTTTTTTTCCTGTTACTAGCATAATTTGCTAAGATAGTTCATTGGAGGCAATTTCGATCTTACTATCATTGCATTAAATATAGTTACTGTTGTAAAGATGAATTTACATGGTTAATTTCTAGAAATCCCAATGATTATGAACAAAATCAGATTTTTAAAGTGTGGCAGTGAACTCTATGCTATAAGAATTAACATACGAGTGGAAAGCACGGGTAGGTAAGTATGCGTAGGCCCATCTCTTAGAGAAGCCCTTTTTCATTTAGATGCTTGTAAAACTGGTCTGCTTGCTGCGAGGAAACACAGGCCCTCGAAAATACTGTGAAACATGATTTCACATTGTAGGTAATACTGCATTCATTTCGGCCATGTCAGCAGTTACTGAGCTGGATCAATATGATTACTGTTTACCATTCTTCATTTTTTTCCCTTTATTTTGCAATGATTCTTAGTGAATTTCCTGACATTTCTGTGTTTCTTACCATGTATCTCTTATGTATTCAGTTACATTATAAACTTCTGAGGGCTTGCTGCTCTTTCTCTGTGTAGTAGCTTGAGTTACGTTTTTTTCTGAGTTATAGAGGAGTTAACTGGAAGTTGTGAAATGAAATAAGCAGATTTTTTTGTAAAGTCCTTGTCCCACTGATTTAAAGAAAGTATATTGTGCTGAGGTTTGGAGGCCAAAATTTATCCAAGACTTGCGTGATTTGTGCTCTAATTTATAATAAAACAGATATTGCTGTAAATGTTAAAGGAAGATGTGGATTATGTATCATGTCCTTAAATTCTGATTAACATTTTAGTACAGTGTATTTTATTTCTGCAAATTAATTGTATCGTTGGGCTTACTCTCACTGATTGCTCTTGAATACTGCAGTAAATGGATTAATCATAATGTCAAAATATTGTGAGAATTCAAATATTTCATTAGAAAAAATTGTACGTACTTTAAAGTAGTCGTGATGATTCTCAGAAATCAAAATACTTTTCAGTTTTCCAGTTCTCCTCATCCTAACCTGTTTTACTTGATTTATTTTCTTTAAGAATGCAGATGAGAACTGCACAGCTTACAGAGCACTTTTAGACAATAAGCAATTATGAAACCTGTTTCCATGATTGCAGCAAAAGGTCACGGAATGGCATGGTTTTGCTAATGGGCCCGTGAGTGGGAGCAGAAGATTTTTTCTTTTGTATTTATTACATGAAACTACAAAGAGAGAAAAGCAAGTCAGAATATAACCTAGTGGTGACTCAAAGCTTGCAGTATGACTTCATGTTTTACACTGCTGGGATAGAATTTATGCATTTTAGCACTATTTACCGTTTGGTAAAACATCTGATATGTAAATTACCCAAGTGTTTTGCAATGCTCTTAATTTAAACATTAAGAAGGCCTTTAATAGAAAACAATCATCTTTGAAAAACAGAACAAACCACTTTCTAGTGGAGTAAAAAAAAAAAAAAATTACTAGCTGATATGCTATTTGGCAAATTAAAGAAGTGTTGAGACTGTGTCGTGTACTTTAAGAGCTTCTTAACTAAATAACCTAGCACTTTTTTTTCTAATTTAAAAACAAAAAAAGGCTTATACAATCTTATAAATTCAAGTTTACTTGCAAAGGAACTGACCTTTGTGCTTCTGTTGGAGGAACACAGCTTCAGGAAAGTTTTGAATAGCTCCTTCTGAAGCAAAAGGGAGCCAAAACTGTGTGACCTTTCAAATTTTACAAAGCGCGCAAAAATTGTCAACTAGAGTACAGTGGGAAAGGCGGGTGGAAACTCGTTTAAAAGGAAGACTATGCTAAAAAAATTCTTGTCTTCTGTCATAAAATATTGGTAGTCGTTAGAAGCTATTTTGGTATAAAGAAGATTTCCGGCTGCTTGCTGTAAAGGGAATGCCTCCTGAAATACACTGTGCACTGCACGCTCTCACTCTTTTGCATTATTGGTGTGAAACAGTTTTCTTTCAGTGCTAATGAAAATTTCCTCAAATTTTGTTCATTTAATATGAAGTAATGTAGTTGGCAGTGTAGTCTACTCATACAAATTATTAAAATGAAGAAAATACTTAACGCAGAGAATGTTTGGTCTTCTCTTCAGTCATGAATAACTTACACATTTACAACAATGCTTGCATATTTGCATATTGCACGTTAATTTTTTGATAATCCAAAACTTCTTCAGAAAATTCAGAGCAGAATATTAATCAACTTACTGTACTTGAAGATAAAATATATGCATATTATATATGCAGAGAGAGAGAGAGATGCACACATGCTACATCCATAATAGCTTTGATTTATTTTTTCCTTTGTGCTTCCCAAATCTATATTTGAATCAGATGTGCTGTTCTTGATGACAAGTGTTTTACAAGTATATGTTGCTGAGGATTTTTATATACTATGTAGCAGCTTAGGATTTCATAACTACCGGATACTTCTGTAATGATGATTTTTCAAGAATTTGATAGGTAACTAATCTGTTTATTCAGTTGGGAAGATTTAAAAACCCTGTGAAACCACTGAAATAAGAGACTTAAAAAAAAAAAAAAAAAACAACCCACAGATCCATATACACTCCTAATTTTCCCCCTCATTTTTTTTTTTAATAGAACAAAATTATTTTAGACCCAATGACTTTCAGTGAGGCTCGATTCAGACCATCTCTTGAAGAAAGGCTGGAGAGCATCATCAGTGGTGCGGCACTGATGGCCGACTCCTCGTGCACGCGGGACGACCGCCGGGAAAGGATCGTGGCCGAGTGCAACGCTGTGCGACAGGCCCTGCAGGATCTGCTCAGCGAATATATGAATAACGTAAGTTATGCGCTCTTTTTAGCGATTTCTTTTTCAGTAGGTTATTAAACCTTTCTGTGGCTAATATTGTGGCTTTAATGATTAATATCAGCAATAATGCTTCTTTGTAGCAGAAGTAGAAGTAAAAACAGGAAGGTAGTTAATGCTGTATGAATTATTCAAATTCTTATTGTTTTACAAACTTCTGTGGGAAGTTTGGTACTGTTAGAAGTTTGTGGGAATGTGTTTTGGCCTGCAAAGGACCTCCTGGCTCCCTTAAGCTTTAGAGTTAAAAGTTTCTTGTTGTATAATAAACAGCTAACAACTATTCCTCTTGAGATGAAATACTTTTTTATGAAGCCTGATGGCAAGCAGTGTAAGTGGGAAATGATCTGAGAAGTCTTTTCTTAATGAAAGTGAATATAGTCCGTTAGCAACATAGTATCCATTGTGGGCTAATAGTCATTTGGGTGTTTTTTAGGATGCTACCTATAGATACTCCTGGGAGGTAGTCTGTTTGCTGTGTGGATTAAACCACTGCAGGTATTTGCTTGCTTTTGGAGCTATGAAGTATGAAGTTTCCCTGAAACTACTGAGTAATACTTAGCAATGTTGCCGTTCACACAAAGAAATGAGTCTTCAGTATCTTAAATGTGGCTGCCTGTGTAGGATTTCCAGGGGTGTTAAATTGTTCAATGTGATGTGAAACCTTTGTTCTGCGTAACTTACCCCAGAAAATTCTCTCTGCCAAACAATGCATGTTAAAACACACAAGTAGTATTGGACCCCTATATCCTTTAGAGGTTATTTTATGTGTGAAGAAGTCCTAAGCAACACTAAACACCTTTTTAAAATAGCAATTAACTGCTGAGAGAACGATAAAGAAGTGATTTTTTTTCCTTCTAAAAATAGGATAGTAGTCATTTGGAACAAGCAATAATTGCACACATATATGCCATTCCACGACCCTCTAGACACTAGGATTTAAGACTACCACCGAATTGTAGACTTTTTTCAGAATAGGCAATGTATGCTTTGAAGCGTTTACAAATAGATATCTGAAAAGAATTGTCAAGTGGAGCATCCTATACCTAGCAATTTCCTGTCTGTCATTACTCCTAGCCAGTAAGACATGCCCGCGTTTTCCTTGGTACTGTTGTAGTTATTTGGGAGAATGATACAATGCACTATTGTCAGTGGAAAATTCGTCTTTCAGTTATTTTATTGTACAGCTAGAAATAACTATGACTTTTCAAAGAGTCTATTGCGTATATAGAGTCACTTTAAGGAATAGCTGTTTCTGTTGGTCTAGAAATTAAAAGCATATGTTGTTTTTTTTTGTATTTTTTAATGAATTGGCAGATGAAAGATTCTTGTACTGTGAATGAAAGCAGTGTCTTTGCTGCTGTATTATGGGCTAGAAATCATGAGGAGAGTGCATTAAAGAATAGGTGATGAGGATGTGATGAAAGAGATGGTGGTGGATTGCTTCCTATGGGATCTTGCTTTGCAGAATTATTACTCTTAGGTGTAATCTTTAAAGGTCTTTGCAAAAAGTTACAGAAATGATGGATTGTGGCTTCCTATTTCATTGTAGTACCTGTTCTTATAAACATGGGATTTTGTTAGCAGAATGCAATTTGCCCTTGCACCAGAAACGTTCTTATTTTATTTCTGATCACATTTATAGTGGAGGGAGAGCCTTAAATGATTGTAGGCATTTATGGCAGTAGTGAAGATGGCTAACAGTTTCGTGGTTTTTACTTCAACATATAATAGTGTGAGCATCTATTTTTATTGTTATCACGATATATTTAAGACTCTCTCTTCTTTTTTTTTTCTGATTCTGAGCCATGCAGTCTCAATAATTTTTATTTTCATGTTTTGTATTGGAATGCAATCAATTTAAGCTATTTTTACAGTTATTAAGTAAAAATCGGAAGAACTGAATGCATGCTTAAGTACATGAACAGTGTAGTACTTCTAATTGCAACATATATGTGATGGTAGGATTTAAGAACGATATTGCACTAATCGTTCTACCTTCCAAGCTGATCTTATCAGATATAAAGGATGAGATTCAGCTTACAGGCACCTAAATTTGGGTGTCTGTACACAGATACGTACAAGTGAGCCAAGGGCTTTGTTCAGTTGCCAGAAGATAGATGTCTAGCATCATTTTAAACGGCTAGTTTAAGTAGTCCAGCGTTCCTTTGAACGGAGGCTCCTGGCCTTAGTCTGGCACTCAGAAACCTGTGAATCTACCATGGGTCTTGTCCCATCTGCCAGCCCCATTTCCGTGCCCTGTATGCCCTAGAGAATATTAAGTGGCTAGACTCCTGTCTTTATCTAATCAACTGAGCCCAGTTGCTTAAGTTCCTATTATAACTGATGGAGGTCAGATCAATATTGTCAAGGGAGTCTAAAGAATGATTCAGATAACTAAATGTTATAATCTAATTTGGGATAAGCTAAATAACTCTGTAGACTCCTGTGGCTGCATTAACTAAATCTCCATTAACTAGAGTGGAAGATGAGATGCGTCATTTATGTATAGACAGCTCCTGTCCAGGCATCTGTCTGGAGACCTAATTTTACCTATTTGTGTACCAGGGCAGAGTGTGCTTTGGTATTTAACCTTTCCCTTGAAACCTAGGGACGGGTTTTCTTGAGTTTGTGGCGATGATAAGTGAAAAAATTATTACAAAAGATTTCACTTTGAAAGGTTTTAAAAAGCCTGAATGAGTTTCAAAGGTAGATGCCAAACTGCATAACTTGACCCTGTTGTTGTAAGTCTGATCAAGACGTGGCTAGACTCTCAGAGTGGTTCGAGTTTCAGCTTTGAGATGATTTGGCAAAGATGTTAGAAGGATGTTTTTAACAGCTTCTACCTCCATAAACCTTAAACCATTGCAGTCCTGTCACTTTAATTACTGTGAAATTTGATTGCACAGTAATGTTTTGGTTTTTTTACTTTCTGATGATATCTGGAAAAGGACAGATCATTTCTGGCTGATGATGGTTAATCATATGTGCATAGTCATTTCATACTTGTCAAGAGATGCAGAGAATATAAAACAGATTACATATTATCTTGTCATATTTCAGGATTATAGACTATGTGTTGCAGTGTATTGGCAGTGTTCCGAATAGTCAAGGTTTTCTATCTTTCTTTAGCTTAAAATTATTCCTTTTGAGTTATCTACTTCCATGATGTGGGTTCAAAGGGATGTTTCTTTTTGTATACAAGAACATTTCTATTTTTTGTTTTTTTAAGTTTTTTGTTTGTTTGTTTTTTTCTTTCATCCTCTTTTCCATTTTAGACATTTACACAGCAAAGTTCCAAATAAATTGATTGTGGTTTATGTTCTATATTACATTAAATTTTCACAGATACTCAGCATCAAATTGAGTGCAAAAGGTGATCGTACTCAGAGTGGAGTCCTTGTTCATGAAGTTTCACTAATCTTTTGGTATTGTGCCAGTGGATGGTATTCTAGTCATGAATCAAAAACTGGAAAGGGTCGAGGCAGGTATGTGAAATCCAAGATATGCTATGTGATAGTATAAGCTGGGCTTGCTTCCTACCATTCCACATGATGAGTGCTACAGGCAACACAAGGAGAAAAGGGGTTTTGACTTGCCTTTTTTTTTATTTTTTTTAAGCAAAGGAAATAGCATCCATCTCAACAATGTAGAAACTTCTGCCCTTTCGGATAGTATAAAAGAAAACCGTGGTCCTCCACCTACAGATCATCCACAGGTGTCCACCTCTTTCTACAGCTCTGTTTCCTTTGGCAGGTCAATATACTTTGTTACATGGGAAGAGAACATTTAACATACACATTACTGTTTCTCCCATTTACCTATCCAGTTTTTACAGATCCGTGACAAGCTAGTAAAGAGATAACAACGTCCTTATAGTTAGTTATATGCCGGGGATGAAATCTCTCCGTGTATTATCCAGAGTTTTACTGAAGTAAGTTAAAGCTGTTCTGCAATTCAGAAGATGAGACAGAAAGATGCCACAGGTCATCTTATTGTCTGGTGAAGCAGACACAAGGTCAGTGAAACAAAAATTCAGGGTATGAGGTGGAGGTTATGATTTAAAACAAAAAAGCAGATATCCAGTTTCAGAATGTTGGCAGCCAAAGGAAAAATATGGAAAGAAATTTTGTAAAGGGGATAGAGAAGATTTCAACTGAGAAGGACAAAAATAATGCTGGCTTTGCATTTGTATTATTCTCTATGTTCTGAAAGTTTTAGGAAAAATGACAGAAACTATTCAGAGAACTGAGAAAAGAGATGTTTTTTGCTTTCCTCCCTCCTCCCCCCAAATAAATGCTGGTTTGTGCAGTTTCCTGAATGTGTTGAATTAGTTTCTTTTCAGTTATATTCTCTTCACAAATATTCAGATGTTCTGGGTCCATTTCTGAGGTTATTTAGGCAATTATTGTTGTAGCAGTTTTTCAATGGTTATTGCTACAGGAAAATTAGTCCCTAGGATCTTCACCAGTTCTATCAATAAATATGTATTTGTGTTGTATATTACAATGAAAGGCTGTAGTCATGACTGGAGTCTCACAGTATATTAGCACTCTACAAGAACATCTATGGAAATGAGATGTAAATTATTTCGTTATTATTTATCTATCTAGTAGTATATATTTAGTAATATATGTTAGTTTCATATGTCTTACCAGTAACTGTGTCAAAATATTTTCCCAACATGGCATTTATTATTTCCATGCTGAGCTCAACTTAACTTTAAAATCTTTGCTTTTTGGCAAGGGGTGGAGGGTGGGAGGAATCTCAGTCTGCTGGGTCATCTGATTTCATTCCAGCTCTCACAGAAAACTGGAGATTTTTTTCAAATTCTTATGTATGCAGGAAAAATCTCATAATTCATTCCAAAATAAAATCAAGTTTCTAGAGTTCTGTCCTGCAGAGAAGCACTAAATAAAGCTCCTTGGAAGCTCTTAATATAGTTGTTATCCATTTGTCTAAATGAAAAAGAATTATTGAGTGGATGGTTAGCTCTGATGGTGATGTAGTTTCCTGCTGGTTTGCTCTCCTGGATCCCTGGTGATTTGTATGGAGTCTGACAGGGAACAGAAATTCTAGAAACCTGTGAGTTCCAGCCCTTAAACTGCTGGATTAGGAGTATGTGGCCAAATTCCTATGACCCCGCTCTGGATACTCTTTCCGGGAAGCATCAGGCTGCTTCTGCATTGATGTCTGATTAGGGTGAGAAAGAAAGAAAACTAAGTCTTTAGAAAAACATGTTCAAAAATGGTTGGTTTGAATTCCCTCTGTCGTCATCAGTTTCTGTCCCAAACAGAGACAGATTCTGAATTTTGTGCAGCTGTCAAATACCATAGACAAATTTGCAGAGCAGTTGAGCAGTGAGTAAGACTTGACCATTAAAGACCTCTGTAATCACTGGAATTAATACAAGTCTCTATTTGAAAATACATTTTCTATTGGATTCAGACAAAAAGTTATCTTTTTAAAAGGCTAGGTTTGTCATCGAGTAAATCTTTGTTCTCACACCTTCCCTGTCCTCCCACCCCAGCTCCTACTCCTGCTAGTGCTGGCATTGCAGGAGACCCTGGGCGTTGGTTTTATTGTAATTGGGTTTGGGGATGGAGAATACTTCTTCATAACCAAGTGAAATAAACAGTCCTTTATGAAATTCTTGTGTTACTACTGATGTTTTAATGTACAGACTTAGGATGCAGAGCATTGCAGGCTAGGCTTGCTTCTATTGATATTTTACTGATATTACCATATAGAGTAGTGTTGGTTAGTATTTGGTTTTTTTGATCTTCTCTAAAACTACTACCCGTTCCTGACTTTTGTTCACTGTGACTTAGGCACTATAGGTTCTCATTCTCATTTTCTACAAAGAAGAAAATGTCATACCTTGAAGATGCAAAACGTGCAAAGAGAGAGAGAGAAAACCCAGGTCTTCGGACACTATTTCCTCTTAGATATATTGGTAAAATTTGATTAACCCAGAGAAAAATTGTAATGCTGCAATACCTGAAAACGAAGTGTAACGGACAGCTGAAGTTATTGTGCTTGGTAAAAACATGATAACAAATTAAAAATGATAAACTCTCAAGATACTGTCAGATTCTGTATTTAACGGCTCCATCTGAATACATATTTGATTTATTTTAAAAGAGAAAAGTAATAATTCCTGCATACATTTTGGTTGTGGTGCTGACTTGTGTAAGGTTAATCCAGGTGACAGCGAGCTGTAAACTACAGTTATGAGACAGTGAAATGCCTACATCTGTCCTGAGATGGAGGAGCAGGGCTGAGCGACAAGAGCTTGGCTGCTGAGCCTCAGGATCATCTGACTGAGGCACAAAAGGTGAGGCAGGACAATTTTTCAATTGGTACCATTGCCAGGTTCCTGTTTTTTGAAGAGTTTTTAGAAAAGACCAACTCTCTACTATATTTCAAGCTTGAGATGAGCTATTTTACCATTCACTTCACTTTTTTAGAGGATATGTGAGCAGGAGGTTTTTTTTCCTACCTTGGAAGAAACAAGTGGAAACGCAATAGTTATGACTGCAAGAGTAGGATATGTTCCCAAACGTGCAAGTATTTTACGATATGTCACAGCATTGCTTCTCAGTCACTTGAGGCTTCTTTGCATTTATCATCCCTCCTGGGTGCCTCGACTTCTTATGACTGTAGATAAATCACTGCCTAAGCATGCTCCCTATGATGTAACTTCAGAAGGCGTCAGCCACATTTTAAGTAATTTTCGCTCTCTCCTTTTGTGATGATACCATCAGGGCCCTGTAGGGCACGCCTAATGTTTCTGTAACGGTTATACAGAGATGCTGCACTGCATGAGTGACTTTTGATTTATTTGTTCATTGCTATATTTTCTAGTGTTTCTTTGCATTTATCATCCCTCCTGGGTGGCTTGCTCACAGAGATCGTGTAATCTCTGTCACTAGAGGTTTTTAAAGAGTAGATGAGATGAATGTCAGGAACGATATAAGTACATCTGATCCAGTTTTGGAGAAGACATTAGACAAAGCAACAAGAGCCCCTGTAGGGCACGCCTAATGTTTCTGTAACGGTTATACAGAGATGCTGCACTGCATGAGTGACTTTTGATTTATTTGTTCATTGCTATATTTTCTAGTGTTGCAAGTCCATGTTCAGTTTTTTTTTTTGTTTTTCCTAGCTAATCCAGAGAACCATGTTACTGTTTTCCACCAAAAGCAACTTAAATGCACAAAGGTCTCTGAAAAATGTGGGACTTTATAGTTTGGGTATGACATGTACGCTAGCATTTAGTTTGAGTTCAGGTGTTGGTGGTTACAAATTTACGCAGCCTAGTAGTGTTTCATCTGTTTGGAACAAGTAGATTTATGCATTTGCTGGATTAATATTTGTGGGAGGAAATGTTGTTTCTGAACCACAGTGCCGATAACTGTGCCCTACTGGTGTCCAGTGGAGAACACAGTGCCTACTGTAATAGCCAGACCACAATATACCATGAGGAAAGCTTTATGTCTCTTGTTAAAATGCAAACAAGTCATATCAGGATTTTGGAATCTAAAGCTGAATTGCTATATTAGGTTTGATGATGGTTCTGACGCGATCTTTGCCTCTAAATTAATGTGGAAATTTTCCAGACTCCCGGTATAACCAACCAAGTGCCTGCATATAAGGACTTATTTCCTTGTTGTCTTTTTTTAATCTCCATACAATTAATAAAACACAGTCACTGACTTGAAGGGTTTGGAAAAAGGTCGAAATCATATTACATGCCAGTGCCTCTGTGAATCCTCCTCCTTATTATCACTATTGTTATGCTATTATTGAGTACATTGCATTTTAAGGATTTTTTTAATGCTAACCATACTGATTATTGAGTGGTTTCTGAGTAATTTTTTGCACAGAAACCCACATCATGTAGGTTTGAGAAGATGTGAAGGAGCTCCTTCTAACTACTTGAAAGTTTATCCTACCTGTTTCGATTGATATTCCCGTTGGCGTTACTTTAGCTGCTGTGGTTGGAACTGTTTTGTGAACCATCAGCTGCTGCTGATCATTTTATCAGGTTTTTC